TGTTTGAATAAAACATTTGTGTGAATATAGGTTTTAATTCGGGGAAATAAATGTCTGAAAGGACAGGAGTTGACCAGCGATGGTGGTCTTTCTGGGAAGATTTTCTGGTTGGCTGCTCACATGTTCTGTCTCCCACATCCACCATGCGGCATGTGGACTTCGGGCACTAGTGAGCTGAGGTATTGGCACATTCCTTGAATGTAGGAAAGGTCCTGCTGGCCTCTCACACCAAGGCATTAGTGTGGCTGCCAAGATCTGGTAAAATGTAACATGACAAAGCCCCTTAAACTTGCCCCGAGGGCTGGGGGGAAGAGGACTGCTCATTTGAGGAAGCCCCCTCTCCTTATTCTCCTCAAAGCCAGACCAAGCCCCATGTCTTCCAGGGAGACCAAGGGCAAGATGGATCTGCTGGGCTCCCAGGACCTCCTGGGCCCCCTGGAGCCCGAGGCCCTCCTGGAGACACTGGGAAAGATGGCCCCAGGGGATCACAAGGCCCAGCGGTAAGAAGGGGCATGGAGTTGGACCACCAGGACCTGGTCCTGAACCTATAAAAACCCAACATCCTGGCCTAAAACCCAACCCCAACCCAAATCCCAAGTCAGAGCCCACCCTGACACCAGCTTCAATCCTAACCCTAATATTCACCACAACCAAAAGTCTCATCAAATCTGACACTAACCACCTCCCTAACCCTAACTGTAAATCCCAACTAAAACCTTGGCCCCAAACTCATTCCCAAATGCTGATCCATATCTTAATTCATACTATTTTCCAGACCCAACCCTGACTCCTACAGATTCTAACCCTGACTCTAAAGCCAACTCTAACCTAGTAGACCCTAACCTTGATCTTAGTTTCAATTTCAGTCCCAATATCCTGACCCAATCAGACATGGGTACTTTCTCTGTAGGTCTTTACCAGCCCCTATTCCTGTGTGTCTGAGTCTCACTTGCTCTCTGGGGTGCTCTCTCTCCTAATGTTAATTTGTTAGCAAGTTTTTTTCTCCCATATTCCTAATACAAATCCTGGAACTCAGACTACCTTTCCTAAACCACGGGGTCAGGGTGGTGTGGGGGGGTCAACCTGTACTTCCTACCCAATGCAAAGCTGACATTTCCACCAAATGGCCACCGGGGGGCTTATCTCTGGTAGCGGCTCAATTGGCTCATCCATTCCCCATGGAAATGCTGAGCCTCAACTTTCTCACTGTGAAATGGGGACCAAGTATATCTTCCTTGAGGGTGGGAGGGGGAGGTTGGGTGAGGAAGAAGTAGAGTCATGTACGTAGAACCCCAGCCCAGGGTCAGGCACACAATCTGGGCTAAATGGAGTGAAACCCCTGCATCCCGTCATTACTAATGTCTTATGTCTCCCCAGGGTCCCAAAGGAGAGTCTGGACAAGAAGGGGAGATGGTCAGTATCCAAGACATTTCAGAGGCCCAAGTTGGCACACCATGGTTCCCAAACACGGCAGTCCCTTGCCCACATATACCCTCCACATACTGGGTGGGCATGCCTGTGTACCCCTGCCCCCATTTCTGCTTCCTCACAAGTGGTGGAGAACTGGATGTGTAAGGTGTCAGCCCTGGCACATCAATCAGACCCACAGTCCTGGGGGAAAGTCTGCAAACCACTCTTCAGTGTTTGAAACTGAAGCAAAAGCTGCCCAACCCCAGGAGTCAGGCCTGGAGCTGGTAGCACAGCCCAGTTCCCATGATAGGCCTACTTCTACCTCCCTGGGACCTGGTTTCCCTCTTTATCAAATGAGGGTCGTAAAAAGACAAGCTCAGGAGCTGCCCTGAGTATGATGTCTCACACCTACTCTTCTCTTATTCCAGGGCCCAAAAGGAACCCCCGGACCCAAGGTGAGTATTCCACACTCCCACTGGCTACAGGGTTAGGGGATGGCGTTCCTGTCCCAGCTCTACTATTAACTATCACCTTCTGGCAGATTACTTCATCTCACTTGGCCTCAGTTTGCTCATCTGTTAAATGTGGCCGTTGTAAACCCTTCCCTGCCTTCACACAGGGCTGTGAAGAAGGGAAAATGAAACATATTAGCTTCTTTATTTTTAACTTTGTGGTAAAACATGTATAAAATAAAATTTGCCTTCTTAATTATTTTCAAGTGTACAATTGGTGGCATTATATACATTCACAATTTTGAACAACCGTCATCATTATATATTCCAAAACTTTTTTCATCACTTACTCCAAACAGAAACTCAATACCCCATAAGCAATAAGAACCCATTTTCCTGTGTTTCCCCCACCCCCAGGCCTTGGCAACTTCTAATAAATTTTAATTCCTAGGCATTTGCCTTTTTCTAGATAGTTCAAATAAGTGGGATCATATAGTAATTGTCCTTTTGTGTCTGGATTATTTCACTCAGGATAATGTTTTCAAAATATGTCAGCTTTTAAAGTCCTCTCCAGATGTTGGTGCTCTCCTTTCCTCCCTCCTTGAGCAGCGCCTGCTGGGGAGGGACAGGAGGCCACCATCCTCTGTGAAGGAGCCAGAGTCCCTGGAAGAGGGAAGGTGGGGAGTAAGCTACATTCTGCACATCTACCCCATGTGCACAGAATGGAGACTGGCCTTTCAATATGTTATCTCTGTATCTCTCACCCAGACCCATTGTATAGATAGGAAGTGACTTGCCATGGGTCAGTCCAACTTGGAAGTGGAACCCAAGACTCTGAGAAATGCAGGGGTCTCTGGGCTAGCATGGGTGTAGGGAGTCAGTGCCACTTTTCCCTGAGGGCTGGGATGCCCGGGGTTCAAGCCATGCTCCAGTGACTCTGACTTTTCTCCTGCGCCATTGTCTTCCCTCAGGGTGAGCCCGGCATTCCTGGAAAGAAGGTGAGGAGCCTGCGGAAGAGCTTCTTGCTGGAGTGGCAGGAAGTGGTTGGGGAAAAGGACAGATGCTGGGGAGGAAAAGCTCCCTTTTCCTCACCAACCCCAAGTGTACCCTGGGTGCACTTCAGGGTGGCTGCTCTGTCTTGTGGGAAAGGTGGGCCAGGAACACAATCATTCGTCTACTCGTTAATTCATCCTTTGCCATCTTCAAACACATTAAATGTGCTCCCACTTCAGGACTAGGAACAATGGTTTTCACAATGTTGGCTCCAGACCAGTAGCATCAGCTGCTGCAGTTCTAACAGGCAACTCCTGGAAGCCTGTTAGAATTGCAAATTTTCAGCCCACTCAGCTCTACTAAGTCAGAACCTCAGGGGCGGGCCCTCTAGGCAATTCTCATATTTGTTCAAGTTCAGGGACCACTGAACTGGAGTAAGCTTCCCGTCACCTTCCCTTGATCTCATCTTCTCCTCCTCACTCAGGTCCAACAAAGTTGTCCCCTCCTCAAGGAGACCTCAGGCCACTGACAGAGACAGGCCTGTCCCCAGTCCCTCTCTAGATCTCTTCCCCCGTACTTACTCTGCCTTCTGATACACAATGTGTACCTATCTGAATACAATATTTCTTCTCTGTTGGCCTCTGACCCGAATACGAATGACCGCCCCACCTGACCAGGGACTGGGCTGCCTGGCCCGCAGGAGGTGATCACAAAACACCTGAATGAATGAATCCATTCTCTTCTTCACCTGTCTGTTCATTCATTCTGCAAATACCTGGTGGGGACAAGGGACAGAAATGGCTCATATCCCACCTCTGCCCTAGAAGGGCAATGAAGAGAGGGGAGCAACCCCAGCCCAGTGTGTTAGGTGCTGGTACAAAAAGTGGGCTCATGTGCTGGGGAGCCCAGAAGAGAAAGAGACCAGCTGACCACCAGAGGATCTGGGAAGGTTCCCCCTACCCCCAGTAGGAAGCATTTGAGGTGAGAAGAGTGGGAGAAGCAGGCAGTACAGGCAGGAAGAACAGCATGTGTAAGGGTGCAGAGGCAGAGCACAACCCGGCCTGTTTGTAGAGAAGGAGCCTGTGAGGCCAGAGGAGTCTAAGGACCAGTCAGGAAGGACCCGAGCGCCACCTGGAGGCAGTGGGCAGGGAGGCCACAGCAGGTTTTTGAGGAGAAACACAGGGCCTTTGGCTGGAAAAGAATCTTTGTGCCCGGTAGGATTCCATCCCCCACCCTTTGCCTTCACCTGAGCCTTTCTGAAAACTGCTCTGGGAAGGCCTGTGCCAGGGGCATCCCAATCATGGGAATGTCCCAGGTCTTGGCCTAAGGTGCTTTGTCCACAGGGCAATGATGGAACACCAAGCCTGCCAGGGCCCCCTGGACCTCCAGGGCCCAAGGTAGGTGCATGCCCCTCCCCCATTGGTCCCCTGCCTCCCACCTTCCAGGGGTCTGGTCTGTATAATAAAGCCTCTCTCCTAGGTCCAGTGCAGGCACAGGGTACTCCTGGTGCCCAGAGCAGACTAGGGAGCGGGAGCAGGAGGTCCTACCTACTGGTTCACCAATAGTCTGGCTTCACATACAGACCACTCACTCCTCCCATGCCCTAGGTCCTCCTGGGTCCCAACTCACATGACTCTACTCTCTGCCCTGTCCCCAAGCTAAGAACTGGGGTGTCATCCTTACTCCTCCTTACCCCTGTCAGCAGTCACCAAACCCTGGCCAAAGTGCTTCCAAAATGAGCCCCTGGGCTGGTCCTACTCTGGGGCAAGTCCCAAACTGGAAGGTGGAGGCTGTGTCCTAAGTACCTTCACTGGGAGAGTCTGCAGACTCCTCCGCACTAGGAGACCCCCCACCCACATGCCCTATCTGATCCTTCTCCCATAAATGTCTCTGTTTCAGGGTGAGCCAGGGAGCATGGGACCCCAAGGAGAGAGCGGCGTGGACGGTGCCCCGGGCCCAAAGGTGATGTAGTGTGTGCTGCCTGCTTAGACTCTAAGTGGGGATTCAGGGTGAGTCCGGTCCCCTTGCACCCCTAGTCAGAGCTGGGGTGGCATTGAATCTGCTGCTTACTCAGCTTTAGGCAAGGGTGGAACCTCCTGTGCCTCAGTGTCTCCTCTCCATACATTGTGAATCAGAGGAGAGGGTCACTTAGGCCTCTCGCCCACTCCAGTTCCAGAAGTCCCCTTGCTTCATGTAAGTGAAGCCATTGGTTGGTTGGTTGGTTATGTGCCATGGAATCGGTTTGGACTCAGCAACCCTGTACAGGGTCGCTATGGGTCGGAACCGACTCGATGGCACATAACAACAACAACAACAACAAGATAGCGCCACAAACTTCATGGGTTTCCTGGGTCTTTGTCCCTTGCCAAGCATAAACCAGGCCAGCTGTCCTGGCTGTGAGTTGAGAGAAAGTCTCTTGCTGGCAGCTCCGCCCATGAAGCTGAAGTGTTCTGCTAGGGAGGGAGCAGTACTGGTGCCCTGTCTGCCTGTCCCCTCAACCATCCTCTACCCAACATACAGGTCGACTAACAGTTGAGACTACATGAGTGGGAAGGCCCATGGATGGGGAGGCAAACATTGTTTTCAGATTTCACCTTTAATCTTTTTTCCAGGGTTTCCCTGGACCCCGAGGAGAGAAAGGTGACCGGAGTGAACGTGGAGAGAAGGTGGGGCACAGGGAAGGAGGTGGGGCAAGAAGGAGGAGGTAGTGGCAGTGGAAAGAAGATAGAGCAGGGGCGAGGGCATGGAACAGGTGTGGGGAGGAGGTAGGGCAGGAGGCAGAGGATAGCGACAAGGTGGGAGCGGGGTACCAGGAAGCAAGAAGCAGGCAAAGGAAAGGTGGAGGCAGGTGGGAAGGAGGGGACTGGTAGAGGCCAGACCCAACAGAGGCGTGGCTGAGGGCAGCAGGGACAAGTAACTGTGGGCACCCTCCCCATCCCTCTCAGATATTGAAGGGATCTAAGCCTGGCAGTCATAACAATCCCCCATCTTACTTTGTGCAGGGGGAACGAGGAGTCCCTGGTCGGAAAGGAGTGAAAGGTCAGAAGGGGGAGCCAGGACCACCAGGCTTGGACCAGCCATGCCCTGTGGTAAGTGTCAGAGTAGGAGGGGCTCCAACCCAGGGCCTTAACCCCTTCAGCTAGGGTCAACCAAGATTCCCTTGTCCTCAGCACTCAGGTCTTCCTACCCCCTTTCCAGTCTCCGCCAACCACCATGATCTGCTGGCCTGGGTTGTTGCCAATACCTCACTGAGCCCAGGGCACCCAGCCTGTGAGGTCTAATCTTGAGAGGGGAGTGAGAAGGTACTAGAAATGAGGGAGGGTGCTTGACCTTATCAAGACATATTGAGGCTTCTGGGTGGAGCTAGGCCCTGGGAAGTGTAGCCCAGCAGTGATGGGAGGCAGTCAAAGACCACTGCCTCCAGTGTCCCCCACCTCTGCCCTGGAGATGAAGTCTGTGCTTGACTCTCTCTGGACTTGAGGCAAATTTGGGCCAAAACTCAGTTTCCTAGTTTCCTCATCCCACCCTCTTGGGGTGTCTATCCCTCACCTTCTTTTCTTCCCTACCCAGAAGAATCCTTTTCTAGGCTGGGGTAGGGTAGCCCCACCCTTGCTCCCCTTCTCCCATTTACTTCCTCTTCAGAACCTTCCTCCTTTGTCCTTTCAGCACAGGCCATGATGGCCCAGCAGATCCAGAGTCCCAGAGAGTCACCATCAATCAGTCCCCCTTCCTAGAGGGCTTTGGGCCCCATTCTTCTAGTGCAGCGCAGCAAAAATAGGAGAGACTAGACCTCTGAGTTCCCAAATCAAACCCACCAAACGTTCACACCACACCACTCAGTGAAGGCTGTGGAGAGGGTCTTCCATAGGAGAGAGTCTCAAGGAGGTCAGAGACAGGGGCTGAGAAGGAGTCACTGCAGGCCCCCCAACATTCCTCAACTTCCTCATCCATACAGTAGGTGTGGTGACCCATATCTCCCAGGTGGTTTTGAAGATTCATCCAGAAAAAGATAAGAAGAACAGAGTACACACACACAAAGTGGCCCGGGGCCCTCCACATCAGTAAGCCCTTGTCTTTGAAACAGGAGAATCCTAAATATGGAGGCAAGCGAGGGGCACCGGGCTCGAAGGGTCTGGCGTGGGGCAGCGGGCCCTGCCCTGTGGTATAGTATCTGCCTGCTGTGTGCTGTGCTGTGCTATGCTGTGTTGAGTAGGGATGCTAATTCCCACTCCTGTGGTCCCACCCTCCTCGATCCTCTTTCCTTTCTATCTGCCTCTCCCACCCCACCCTGGCCTGTTCCCCTGCCACATGACCCCAGCAAGTTGGTCCTGTGGGTTTGAGGCCTAAGCTTTGTGACTTGGATCAGAGTGAAGTGTGTTCTGCCCCAGTGCCCCCAGGGACTCTTGGCTGAAGGTTCAGACCTTGCCCATCTCCAATCCTCCATCAGGCTGCCGAGGGTACTGGTTCCCCCACTTGGTCTGATAACTAAAAGGGCATTGCTGGTGTCCCTGGACAGACACCTCGCCCCATGACCAGTTTCTACCCTGTCAACTTTGACCCATCCGGTATGCCACTCGGACCCCAGACACAACATACAGGGCTGCCTGGGGGGACACTCATGGAGATGAGACTGCCCAAAGTGGACAGCTCCCAGGCCTGGGGGTGAGGGTCAGAGCCACTGGCTTGCTACACAGGAAGCCATGCAGCCACTCAGCAGGGCCAGCCCCAGGTCACCTCCTGACCAGCGACAATCTGCCCTGATGCTGCTTCTCTACAGCGTCTATCTTTGCCTACCAGACAATTGTGCCTAAAAAATTAAGACCCCACAGAGCGCTTCCAAACACACTCTGTGCAAGTTCAGGGAAGGGCCATCATATCCATGACCCAGCCGCCATTGGAGCCCTGCCTCAGCGGGACACAGTGGCTCTACTTGACAGATCCTCAGACCACATCCCTCTTCCATCTTGGGTGTAGGCCAAGGTGTTAGAAAAGGGAGCAGCCCCATGTCCACTCACTGACACTCTCTTCCTTTCTAGGGCCCTGATGGGCTGCCCGTTCCCGGCTGCTGGCATAAGGTACCTTGAAGGGCATAGCCTCTGTGACTCAGGCTCAGAGGAGGGGGAGCTTAGGTAGATGGGAGGGTCTCTGGGGACTGGCGCCCTCACTCAGGGTGCCCAATGGCTGATCAACCATGTCCCCAGCATAATCTAGCTTTGGCTCTGCTAGCCTGAAGCTTGGGGATGTGGTCCTGGGGGCTGTGCCTGACCTGCCTTGTTGGTCATTGTAAACTCAATCTGGATCCTGCCATCAGCGCCTTCTGGGACTCTGTCCAAACCTTACTCCCGAAAGGGAGCAAGATTGGGAGCCTGAACAAGGAAGTCCGAAATGGGCCAGACAGAGCTACCAGAAAAGGGGCAGCCCCAGGGCCTCCCTCCACTACTCATTCCCATCTTTCCCTCTTTTTCCAGTGACCTGAGCACCCAGCTCACAACCTGTACAGATCCGTGTGGACATTTTTAACTTTTGTAAAAACAAAACAGTAATATATTGATCCTTTTCATGGGATGTGATCACCTGTGGCCTTTTCACGTTGGAGAGTGTGCCCAGCTCAGCCCCAGATGGAGGAGCCTGTACCACTGGCAGGAGCATGGACAGGACACTGCAGGGGAGCATCCACCGGACATGGCTTCTGTGGAAAGAGACGACAGTGATGGTGCCTGGCTCTGGTGAGGATGGGAACACGCCGGCTGGACCTTCGGTCACGATTAGCCAAGACTCACAGCTGCCTACCGCACCACAGAACCTACTCCCTGATGTTCCGGAGTCCCATCCAGGGATTGAAGGCAACTGCTCTGGCCTCTCCCTCCTGCAGTCTTAGCCCAGCCAGCTTACCCAGTCTCCAGGCACTGAAAGCACCAGGCCCAGAAAAAACCTCCCACCAGTACCTGCAGCTGGACACTGAGGCCTGTGAGTAGCACCCCCAAGTGGATCTGACTCCCATTGGTGGCCTGGGTCAGCTGGCCTCAGACAGTCAGCTTGTCCTAAGAACACTTGTCCTCTGGCCATGATCATTGGACAGTGGTGGGCCCAACTGCAGGGAGCCCAGTATCCTCCAAATGCAGAGATCGGAGGGCCTCGGTCTGCTGTTCCTGCCTTTGCCCCACACCATCCAGGGCACAGATCTGAGGGTACCTTGCTGACCAGCGGACACAGGTCTCTGTCTCAGAGCATTCAGACTCATTGTCCCCAAGTCTGCAGCCTGGGAGAGCTCTGAGCAGCTAGCCCTCCTGATGAATTGTGCTGGTGAAGCAAACTTCTGGGCTGGTCCCGTGCCAGCCAAACAGGGTTTTGACCTGGGCCACCTGCCCTCAGATGAGAGGTTTTCCCACCTCTGACGAGGGTCCCAGCCACCAGCTCCACTCCCACGTCTCACCTCCCATCTGTTTAATAGGACTTTGCTGCGTGTAATAAAACACAAACATTTGCCTGGATGTGCCTGTCCTTGCAAACGACCTCCAGGCTTCTTTGGGTCACGATTCCACCCAGCACCATCTCAGCCTGGCCACTGCTGGAGAGGAGAAAGGAGGCTCCCCCTGGGCCAACCCAGAAACCAGAAGAGGGAGTTCAGGGCTGGGGCAAAAGATGAAGTTGGAGTTAGGTAGACTCAGACTCCACTTCACATTGCTGTCATGTGACCGTGCGTAACACTTCACCCCAACACTCGTTGCCTTAAACAAGGATCATTTCTTACTTCTATGGGGGTTAATGGGCTCAGCTGGTGATCTTCATGCCCCCACAGGCAGATACTGGAGCTGGAATCTTCTCAAAGGCTTCCTTGCTCCCTTGTCTGGCAGTTGATGCTGGCTGTCAGCTGGGACCTCAGATGTCCAGAACGCCACCCATGACCACTCCATGTGACTTAGGCTTCCTCAAAGCATGAAGACTCAATCAATCCCAAGAGCAAATGTCCCAAGTGGGTCAGCTGGAAGCTTTCTTTCGCCTTTTATAGCCAAGCCTCAGAAGGTTCACAGGTCACTTCTCACCAGGGTCAGAGGTTCACCTAGACTTAAGGGGAAGGATACAGACACCACCTCCCAATGGGAAGTGTCAGCACATCTTCTGTAAATGGGATGGTGACACTAACCACTGGGGTTCTGGTTGGTCGAGGATTCACTGTGGAGAATGTGCCAAGAACCTAGGCCAGGCCAAGTGCCTTGACACTCTCATAGTTCACTGCCTCCTCACTTGCAGCGCACGTCCCATCTCTCATCCCAGCGGGCCTGAGTAACAACTCAGAGACAGACACCCATCGAATGTGCCTATTTCACAGATGGTAAAGCCAAGCACATCCAGGGAGCTGAAGAGGGACCCAGAAATCATGGTGTCTCAGGCCTTCTTCTTCCAAGGACTGTGATCTAAAGAGGGCTACAGTGTGGGCAGTCCCCCCAAAATCTCTGCCATAGTCTCCTGACTAGCAGAAGAGGTCCAGGCATACACTGGCTCTAATGGGAAAAGATCCCAAATCCCATGTCTGGTTCCCGAAGGAGCTGTTAAGAAGTAGGCCTCTCACTGTCCAATCTCAAAACAGATATCTGCACAACCATGGTCACTGTAGCACAGTTCACGACAGCAAAGTGAGGGGAACCACTTAATGCCATCAACAGACAAGTGGGTAAAGAGACTTTGTGGTACATACCCTCAGTAGAATACTATGCAGCCATTAAAGAGTTACGATGAATCTGCGAAATAACCTTGTAACGTGGAACAACCAGAAGGTCATTATGCTGAGTGAAATAACTCAGTAACAAAAAGACAAATATTGTATACGACCACTATTGTAAAAAGTAAAAAAAAAAAAAAAATGTTTTCACACTAAAAGAGACATTCTCTGATGATTACCAGTGCATAAGGAAAAGGGAGGGTGAGAGGACGGGAAGGTGTGTCCTTGGCAGGAAGGTAGACATGTGTTAACTTGGGATGAAGGGGAAAATAATTATAAGGAAAAGAATATCATAAATAAAGACACCTGGTCACTAGGGAAGCCAATAGTATCGTAACAGGGAAGAGAAACAATGGGACTCACTGGGTGTCAGATCCTCCTTTGGGATTCCAGGATAACCCTTGCACGCCCACTGCCCCTCACTGTGAGCAAATCACTCTTCCTGCCACTCAGTTACCTCACTGATGCCCACACGCATCCTGTGAAGGTGAAGGACTATGTGACTGTTGTTGTTAGGTGCCATAAAGTCGGTTCCGAGTCTTAACGACCCTATACACAAGAGAATGAAACACTGGCGGGGTCCTACGCCATCATTTCGATTCTATGCTTTGAGCCCATTACTGCTGCGACTGTGCCAATCCATCATCATTAGGGGTCTTCCTCTTTTTCGCTGACCCTCCAATGTCTCAAGCATGATGTCCTTCTGCAGGGACTGATCCCTCCTGACAACGTGTCTGAAGTATGAGAGACAAAGTCTCGCCATCCTGGCTTCTAAGGAGCATTCTGACTGTCCTTCCAACACAGATTTATTTGTTCTTTTAGCAGTCCATAGTACTTACAATATACTTCACTACAACATACTTCAAATGCATCAATTCTTCTATGGTCTTGCCTATTCATTGTCCAACTTTCACAGGCTATCGAAAATACCATGACTTGAGTCAGGCACACCTTAGCCCTCAAACTGACATCTTTGCTCTTGAGCACTTTAGAAAGGTCTTGTGCTGCAGATTTGCCTAACGCAATACGCTGTTCAATTTCTTGACTGCTGCTTCCATGAGTGATGATTGTGGAACCAGGCAAAATGAAGTCCTTGACAACATCAATTTTTACCTCTGTTCATCATGGGGATATTTACTGATTCATTTGTGAAGATTTTTGTTTCATATTGAAATACAATCCATACTGAAGGCTTTGATGTTCATTAGCAAGTATTCCACTTCCTATGGCTTCCAGAAAGCAAAGTTGTATCCTCTGCATATCTCAGGCTGTTAATGAGTTTTCCTCCAATCTTGGTACCACATTCTTCATATAATCCAATGGTTCAGGTTATTTGCTCAGCATACAGATTGAATAAGTATGGTGAAAGACTACAACCCTGATGTACACCTTTCCTAATTTTAAACCATTCAACATCCTCTTATTCTGTTCAAGTGACTGCCTCTTGGTCTACAGATTCCTCATGAGCACAACCAAGTGTTCAAGAATATCCACCCTTGGCAATGTTATCCATTGTTTGTTATGATCCACACAGTCAAATGCCTTTGCATACTCAATAAAACACAGGTAAACATCTTTCTGGTATCCTCTATTTCCAACCAAGATCCATCTTTCATCAGTAATGATATTCCTTGTTTCATATCTTCTTCTGAATCAGCTCAAACTTTTGGTAGCTCCCTGTCGATTTACTATTGCAACCTTTTTTTTTTCTTTTTTTTTAGCATAAACCCTCAATATGTATTAGATTAAATCCTATTCCTATTCCTCTATTAACTTTCACACACCAGTTGATTGCACACATGTATTTTAACAATGCAGTTTTACACAGAATGCTAAGAGCACTTACTTTCTTCATATTTTACAAAATAGCTTGAAACAATATGGACTTTCAATTCCTATACATGCCATAACACAGTCAGATCTAATCTATATAGCTGCATTATAATTTGTTTAAAGGCTTAATGGCAATAATCAGGGAAGGAAAAAGAGTGAAGTTTATTTTACATAACTGACTGGAAAATATATTCAAGAAACAGCAATTTAATATGGCCTTATGTGTCCAGGAGGTGGTGCCCTATTTGGAGGGGTAATCGCTATGTCCAAATAATCTATTTGGATCCTCTGCAACTGCAGGATCATGGAGTCCTCAGTCGGCTTTCTGACAGACATGGTGCTACTAATCTCCTTCACTCAATTTGTTGTTGTTGTTAAGTGCCATCGAGTCGGGTAGCCAGGTCTTTTTAACATCTATAAAAACAATGGCAAAATAGAAGTGCGTGCCTTTCTTTCTAGCTTCTAGGTAGACCTCTTTCACTAAACTTGTCAGTTCTTACAAAGTTGCATCCATCCAAGTGTAGATCCGCTGCTTGCTGGACAGCACGTTTCCGCAGAAGTTGTACATCCGGTGGCGGCAGCTGTTACTGGTGGTGAAGACACACAGCAGCAGCAGTGGGCATGTCTTCTCCAGGTGGGTCAGCTTTTCCAATTCCATCTTAATTTCCTCCTGGGTGACGTGTGACTCCATCGCCATCTTCCTCCTCTGGCTCCCGAGACGCTCACTCTGAACTCCGACCCCTGCCGCCAGCGTGAGAACCATGCCTTGCAACCATTTAAAAAAAAATTATCTTCAGCAAAATTGTACTTGCATGTAGTATTAATGCTATTGTTTGTTGGTTTCCTCATTCCGTTGGGTCATCTTTCTTTGGAATGGGCACAAATATGGATCTCTTTCAATTGGTTGGCTTGGTAGCTGTCTTCTAAATTTCTTGGCATAGAGACGTGCTTCCAATGTTGCATCAGTTTGTTGAAACATTTCAATTTGTATTCTGTCAATTCCTGGACACTTGCTTTTCTTCCATGACTTCAGTGTACTTTGGATTTCTTCCTTCACTACCACCGGTTCTTGATCATAAGCTACGTATTGAAATTGTTAAACATCATTTGTTTCTTTTTGGTACAGTGACTGTGTATTCTTTTCATCGTCTTTTCATGCTTTCTGCATCATTCAATATTTTTCCCATAGAATCTTTCAATCTTGCAACCTGAGGCTTGAGTTTTTTTTCTTCAGTCCTTTCAGCTTGAAAAATGCTGAGTGTGTTCTTTCCATTTGGTTTTCTAACTCTAGGTTTTTGCACATTTTATTATAATATTTTATTCTT